TTTTGGGCAGTGTAGAGTAGGGCTTGTTGTTTGTCATTTCTCTGATCACAAATGCAGACAGGGTTTTATGTTTACGCGGCGCAACGTAACGCGTAAAAAGACAGTATAAGTCATTATAATCCGTAATTATGTCCCCACTGGATGCAACAAATGCCTCGTTTGTAATGTTTTTGTGTCGTCGCTCCGGCCGGGACAAGGCAACACAGTATGGTGAGGGGCGTAACATTTCCGTCTCACGCTTGAGGTATTCGGCCAATCATAACGCACTGGATAGCTGGCCAATCACAGTACACCTCGCTTTTTCAGACCGATGAGTTTTGTAAAAATCGACGCGTTTCAGAAGGCGGGGCATAGAGGAGAAACAATAATGTACAGTATGTGGAAAATAATGTTTTTTTTTTACTTTAAACCGCATAAACACATTTCATTACACCAAATACACAAAATAATGTTCTTTTTAGCAGCATCATATGACCCTTTTAACAACTAATATGATTTCTTCACAAATGGTACAGCTGCAGTACTCTTTGTACAAGGTTATAAGAAATATAGTCGTTACTCTTGTTACTCTATTATAAATGTTTCATAATATCAGACTGCAAACTGTTCAATGATTCACAAATGTTTAATCATATGTGGTGTCAGGTGCTGTTGGTTTAGTTGTTGGTCACCCTTTGGACACCGTAAAGGTGAGTTTCTTTGATAATAGATTTGAAGTATGTGTAATTTGCTGGTTTTCAGTCACTGACACTACTAATGCAGTTGATGCCTTTATTATGGTCATAGGTGCGTTTGCAGACCCAGACTGTGTATAGAGGGATATTTGATTGTGTGGTCAAAACATACACACATGAAGGAGTAAGTTATCAAAAACTACATTTTACATATACTGTAAATGCAGTACATATACATATACAAAGTTGTGCTCAAAATGATTCATACATTTGGTAAATATAATCAAAGGGCGGCTGTGAAAATAAATCTGCATTGTTATTCCTTTTGATCTTTTATTTAAAAAATTTACAAAACTCACTTTTCATTGGAGAATAAGAATTTAAAATGGGGAATTTAAAAAAATAAATGTTTCTCTCTAATACACATTGGCCACAATTAATCATACCCTTTTATCCAATACTTTTTGCAACCTCCTTTTGCCAAGATAACAGCTCCGAGTCTTAACCTCTAATGCCTGATAATATTATAGAACATCTGACAAGAGATCAGAGACCATCTCTTCATACAGAATCACTCCAGACCCTTCAGATTTCCAGGTCCATGTTGGTGCTTCTCCTTTTCAGTTCACCCCACTCATTTTCTAAAGGGTTCAGGTCAGGGAACTGGGATGGCCATGGAAGAAGCTTGGTTTTGTGCCCATTTTTGTTTTGATTTTGATGTTTGTTTTTGGATCATTATCCTGTTGGAAGATTTAACATTAGTCCATTATAAGGTTTCTAGCAGAGGCAGTCAGTTTAGATTTTATATCCGTTGGTATAGAATCCATATAGGTATTGGTATAGAATCTATGATGCCATGTATCTGAACAAGATGTCCAGGATCTCAAACAGAAAAATAGGCCCACAACATAAAAAATTCAGCAGTATATTTAATTGTACACATGGGGTACTTTTTTATCCCTGTGCACACCAAACCCATCTTGAGTGTTTGCTGCTAAAATGCTCATTTTTTAGTTTCATCTGACCATAAAAATGTTTGTTCCAGAAGTGTCTAGCAAATGAATGCTGGAGTTTGTTTTTGGATGACAGCATTTTATTCTCTTGATTTATTTTTGAAACCCTCCCAAACAACGTGGTACTGTTTGATAATTTTTTTTAGGGTTTATGACCCTGAGACTCAACTATTTTCTGCAGTTCTCTAGCTGTGATCCTTGGAGAGTCTTTGGCCACTCCAACTATTCTCCTCACCTTGATAGACAAAATAGACACGTCCTCTTCCAGGCAGATTTGTAACTTTTTCTGTTGATTGGAAATTCTTAATTATTGCCCTAATGGTGGAATTTTTTATTCTTTAACTCTTTTCTTACACCCACTTTCTAATTTGCAAAGCTCAACACTATTTTGATGCATATCAGAGCAATATTCTTTGGTTTTACTCATTGTGATGAATGATTAAGGGAATTTGGCCTATGTTTTTATGGTTTCTGTTCATTTGGACTTTGAGTTTGCATCATTTTCTCTTGTGTTTGTTGTCATGGTTCCTGATTTGAGTTAGTCATTATGTTTAGTGTCTCGTTAAATATCCCCATTTGGTCTGCGTACTTAAGTTTCTCTCTTTTCAGTTTCAGTTGGTCGGTTATTGATGTTTGTACCTCACGTGTGCTGGTTATGGATTACCTGTGTTTTGTGGAATAAATACCCTATTTGAATTTAACTTCTTCTTCATGCGCCTTCAGTCTATCTTCAATCTAGCAGCTCCATAACAGAATAATCAACCAGAAAGAAACGAAAGTGCCATGATTTACCCCTGTTTATTTTTTCATTTTTTTGTCAGTGTTTTTGTTTTCCGTTTCTCTATGGATCACTTTTACCTGCTTTGCCTTGAGCAGGGGAACCGCTCCCTCGAGGAGCATGTGGAAGAATTCCTAGGTCTCACCCATCTGACGACCTTCCTGGACGACTGCCTGAGCACGTTCTTACACACGTTCTGAACACTGCTACACGAGCGCAGTTGTCTGGGGAATGTCCTCAAGGGAGCTTTGTGGCATATGTAGAGTGGGTGCTGGTGTCCTGTGGATCGCTGCTCAGTGGTCATCACTGACGACAA